ACAATGAGGATGAGCGAGTGGTGGATGAGGATGAAGAAGCGGGGAAAGTGACTCACGTCAACGCAGAAGTGCGAAGGAAGTGGCTTGAGCATAGAGAGGGAGGATCCTCAGGTACGTCGTAGTGTTGTTCCTGGCAGTGGGCACAGTTCTAACCGTAATTACAGCTGGTGGATTGCGAGCGTGCAGAGCACAGGCGCGTTGGCGAGGATGCAAGAAGACCCAGACGTGAACGCACTGCGAACAGTCGGAGAACCCTTGGAAGCCATTCGAGTCGAGATGGATTGCGATTTGCGTGTGGGAATACAAAGCCTGACCCTCGGTTCCATTGATAGAGCGTGGAATCCCGGTGAGTGCTTCAGTACTAGTAAATCTGCTGACAACTCAGTTGCAAGAGAAACTCGGGTTGTCGTATCATAACAGCCGAGCTCTTCTCCAGCGTGTCGACTCACTTCCTGAGAGAGCGGAATGGAAGGAGCAGATCCTCTCGTTCAAGGACCGTCCGAAGGAGAGGCATCTTCTCCAGTTCCGGGATATCATACAAGCAATACGTACCTTGCTAGGCAACCCGGAACACGCTGATCAAATCGTGTACCGACCGCGGCGGATTTTCTCAGATGCATCCAGGAAGCACCGGCTCTACAACGAGATGTGGACCGGGCGTTGGTGGCACGCTGTGCAGGTGAGTACTGCCGCATCAGTAGAACGCATATATTTTCTGAATCAAGTGTAGAGTCTCTTACCTGCAGGCGCAGCTGTCGCGCCGGTCATTATAGCTACAGACAAAACACAGTTAACGCAGTTCTCCGGAAACAAGGCAGCATATCCGGTGTACATGACCCTCGGTAATATTCCTCGATCTCTGAGGCGCAGCCATCGGAAAATGCCTGCATACTTATCGGATACCTATCAGTCGACAAGTCGGCTCGGAGGGTATCACGCAGCGCAAGCAACGCGCGCTGGTGCAGCAACTGTTCCACGCCTCTGTTCGGGCGATCTTGGAGCCGCTTGTCCAGGCCGGAAAAGAAGGCATCGACGTGACCTCGGCCAACGAGAGGTTCGACGAGTGCACCCAATTCTTGCCGCCTACGTCGCGGATTATCCGGAGCAATGCTTGGTAACTTGTGCCAAGTCCGGCACTTGCCCCAAGTGCCAGGTCCCGGAGCAGCTGCTTGAATCCGCAGCCGCAGGTACGCCCCGTACTTCCCTCTGGACCTTGGACGTGCTCCGCCTCGCCAGTGAGAAAACCCAGGGGCAGACAAGCTCGAACGCGTACACTCGAGCCTGTCAAGACCTTAACGTTTCCGGCTACGTCGTACGTCCCTTCTGGCGCGATCTACCGTATACCGACATACACTCCTGCATAACCCCTGATGTACTCCATCAGCTGTACCAGGGTGTTCTTAAACACATCATCGAATGGTGCACGGAACTCGTCGACGAGCGCGAGCTTGACCGGCACATCCGCTGCCTTCCGCCCGCATTCAGTACCCGCCACTTCAAGAACGGAATTTCCTCCCTGTCCCAGGTCTCGGGACCGAGCGTAAGCACATGGCTCGCATACTGCTTGCCTGTCTGGTCGGCAAGATACCGAAGAAAGCAATCCTCGCTTTCAGGTCTATTCTAGACTTTATTTACCTCGCGCAATACACCACTCACGACGACACGACGCTCCAGTACATGGAAGACGCCCTCAAGACCTTCCACAGCAACAAGACCATTCTTGTCGATCTCGGAGTGCGCGATCATCTTAATATTCCGAAATTCCATTCATTACTTCACTACGTTGACGCAATCCGACTACTAGGCACTACGGATAACTACAACACGGAGGCGTTTGAACGCCTCCACATCGACTACGCGAAGAAAGGGTGGAGGGCATCAAACCATCGCGATGCGCGTCCGCAGATGGTGCGTTGGCTGGCACGACAGGAGAAGATGGTCGTGCTCAGCTCAACCATCCACCGCTGGCTCAGGAGTACTGGCCGCGAACGAAGAGATGATGTCTCCGTTCGTCATGCGGACGACGTAGACAATCCAGATCAAGACAGCGTATCAGGCTCACGTCATAACGGTCGAATTAAATTGGCGAAGCACCCCTCTGCACCCCTCCAGGCTCTCCCGACCATCGTCGACAAACACCATGCACCCGGCTTCATCGACACCCTCGCACAGTATATCTACACGCTGAAGAATGGACGACCTCTAGCCTCCTCACAGCTCAACAACGCCATCAACCATATGCCGTTCCAACGCCTCGATGTCTTCCATGGCTTCAAGTTTACGCCCGAACCCTTGACCGACGACACACAGGAGACCGACGCAGTGAAGGCAAGGCCCGCCATAGCTAAACAACCTGCGCGTTTCGATACTGTGGTTGTGCTGCAGGAGGACGACGCTGAAGCTACTGGGCTGCAAGGTACACATGCTCTCTACACATCTCATAGCGAATTAACGTAATTGCTCCGACTCTACAGGTACACGCATCGGACGCATCAAAGTCATATTCAAACTCCCTCAAAACATCAGGGATCCTCGAACCCTCAGGCCGCTACAAGCTCCATCCGAATGGGCTAGCCAGGGGCCACTCGCGTACGTAGAATGGTACTCTAAGTTACCTACGCAAGCCGATCCCATACATATGATGTATCCTATTCACAAACCTCCCCTTCGCGCCAATGGGCATCCCGTTGGCGGGATTATTCCTCTGTCGGTCATCCGTCAATCGTGTCAACTCGTTCCATGTCCCCCTGGATCTACACGTACTACCACGAATCGCGAGAGCTTACCGGACGACTGGGATACGTATACTGTACTGGATAAGGCTACTAAATTCTGGCTTAACAATTGGGCATCTAAGTACGCGTACCAGACGCTATGGTAGATTACTTACATTGAATAGTACTGAGCAACAGTTGTGACCGCCAATCTCACACAAGTGTCTGGTCTCTTAACAGCTCTCATTGAATGAACGGTCACAACGCAATACCAACGCTTCATGTTTCTTCAGAACGCATTTCCGTACTTCATACCACTTGAGAACCATCACCACCTTAAGTCGATCGCTGTCGGCATTCTCCGAAATGGGCGCTTCACACTTCGGTCCTCATCAACAACTGCGGACCACCTCTGCTACCTCGCTCACCTGCCTTCTCCCCTGCTTGCCCTCAGCCGCTCCTCTACAATCCTGCTCAACAGTCCACTTCCCCATCTACTGACTGGTGCCCTTTTTTGAAATCTTTTCTTATCGGCCGTCGACTTGTCGCCCTTCTAGCGGTACGACCCGCGGCATCGCTTTGCAGTTGATTAAAGTAAGTCCATCTCTGCATCGTTCGCAAATAGGCTCGCTGACTTCGCATTGAAGGGCCTGTGGTGGTGGGCGAAGGCCGACGAGCCTTGGCAATGCCTCGCCACCTGTATGCCAGAGCTCATCAATGCGCTGGATGCGCACGACCTGCTTGCGTACGAGTGCGCGCTGCCCGTGCATGGATTGATGCCCAGCAAGTAGATACAGCTCACGAAGGTGCGTTGCGCGCGCCGCAAGTAAGCTGGTAGGCGGGCGAGAAGGTGACGGGGCACACGGGCGACCGGGTGGGTGTGAACTTGAAGGCGAACGACCGGGCGCACAAACGGGCCAGTGAGCGGCAGGGCGAGCAGGTGAGTGAACGAGCAAACAGTTGAGCGGACGAGCTGATGAGACGACAAGCGGGCGAGTGGGCAGACCGGCAGACGGCCTTACAGCAGGGCACACCACACGCCGACCACGAGCGCGGTGGGTGAATGCCCAGTGCGCAGACACGGTCAGCGGACGAGGACGCACGCACGCACGCAGGCGGGGGACCGGGCGGGTCAGCGGGATTGCAAGCGGACGGGTGGGCCAGCGGAAGGGTGCGTAGGGTGCGCAGACCAGGAAGCTAAGAAAGCAGCGAGAGGTGCGAGCAGCCCACCTGACGAAATCACCGCACTCCTTCGCTCCGCCCTCCCATCGAGCATCTCCGCGATCCGTAGGCACCTCCTTGAGCAGATCAAAGCCGCAGCCGTCCAACGGTGGAAGGAGTCGCCCCGTTTCGAAGCCCTTGCACGCATAGACCCTGAAATGCCGTCGAAGAGGTTCAGTAAGCTCGTCGCACCCCTCCCTCGTCGACATGCCAGCCTCCTCATTCAGCTCCGAACCGGACACGCACCGCTCAACTACCACCTCCATCGCATCCGCCGATCCGACACAGCGCGCTGTCCCGCATGCCGAGCCCACCGAGAGACCGTCCGACACTTCTTCCTCGAGTGCACGGAATACGCTCCACAACGCGCATGGCTACGACGCAAAATCGGAAGCCGAGTACGATCTCTCAGGCACTTACTCTCGCAAGCCGACACCATCCGACCGCTTTTCCGCTATATACACGCCACCGGCCGTTTCGACCACACCTTCGGAGGACTTGACTTACCAAACACCGAGGACGATGAGTGACGACGATCTCCTATCCCACGCGCATCCTTAATACCCCACTGTAGCGATTTGCACACGGACACTATACATAGTAAATGGACTCTACAACACGAACTAATCGAACTACTGTACATATGCTATAACCCAATCCATCCCAACCGGCGAAGTCGCCTCTCCGTAGGTGTACCGAGCCAATGATTAGCTAGGCACCCTCGCATCAAACCCAAGTAGTATAGTACATGTATATAGTCCGAGTCTACATAGGGCTTCGCCCTCAAATGACGATAAACGGGATTACCAACCAACCAGGGTGCGTAGGCAAGGGGACGGCAGGAGAGAGGGCAGACAGCGGTGGACGAGCAGGTGGGTGAATTAGCAGAAGAGCGGGGGCAGGCGAGCAGGCAGGCGGGGACAGGGTGTGTCCACACGCCGACGGCGAGCACACAGGGCAAATGCCCTGCGTGCAAACGCAGCCGACGAACGGACAACTGTAGCAGTACTAGGTCGTGTATATGGATCATATACAAATTTTGGTCATGCATACATGTCTGGTCACCTAAGCACCTAAGTATGTTCGCACCCGCCGACCAGCGTTCATAACACTGTGGTCGAGGGCGAGGCCGAGCGTTCAGCGGGCTGGTTGCGCGATCGCTGTCGCCGTGTCTTCTGGCGCATCGCGTCCTTGCGTTGTTGTTTGTTCACGGTGGGGATCGTGGACTCTTTAAAAGTGGACCGTCTGCCGCGTTTGCCGAGGGTAGACCGCGAGGACGGAGAAGGGGCTGGTGAGCGAGGGCCCCCTTGGGAGTATTGCCGATTTTCTGGTAGAGTATGACGATCGCTTGAATGGTGGTGTCCGTGATAGAGAAGCCACGCACTCACCTTAACAGCCAAACGCTTGCTGGTTCTAGTGCTCCGGGCGCCCGAAGAAGACGAACTGCCCGCCGCGGTCAACACGGCAAGCTCCGAGCTGTCTTCGTCATCCGAAGAGACGAGATCAATCACCACCGGTGCCCGTGTTTGCTTGATATGTGGCGGCGGTGAACGACCGGAATAGTCCTGCGTGTTGTGGAACCCGCAAAAGACCAGACCGTCTTCCTCGAGCATCGTCCGGTGGACCTCGCTCTTCTCTACGTCGACGCGCTGGAATCCGAGGTATTGGACCTCGTCATCGTCGGGTTGACGGCGGGTCTGGGCTGACATTCTTTGGGTGACAATTATAGATGAGAGGGATGTACAAGAAAGTTGAAGGGTTTGCGAACCAGATGCGAAGTTTGCGGGAGGTTGTTGTTCGTGCAGAACACCTACGTTGCGGCACTACTGCCAGTGGATGCAAAGGCGTTCAGATCTCGATCTTGATCGCAAGATCGCCCAGCGGAACACCAACCGACTCCGAACAAGCCGGAACTCGCAGTCACCCGCCGGTAACCCGCGTCGCCCGCTCAGAAATGAGCTGCGACTCAAATATACTAAAAACAAGTCGAGCGACGCGCTCGACGTGAGCAAGGACGCGCTCGACACGACCGGCGACGCGCTCGACACCAAAAGTGTTGAGCGTTGCAAGCCCGCGTCGTCGGCGGGCGCTCAGAGAGCTAGCGCCCAACGCTCTGCTCTCGACCGCCACCATCTCGCCGACGACCTCCCTCCGGGCACCCGTCTCGACCGCCAGAACGCGTATCAAGGCGCATGTTCTGTCCCAACGGGCAGGAACGCGCGCGTCCGCGTCTGGCCAGCTGAACTGCTGCTGGTTCAGTTAGCAGCGCGAGAAGACGACCTTGCAGGCAATGCAAGACCGCCATCCCCTTCTTCCCCAGGCCATCAACTTCCGCCTGCGAACCCTGCTTTCCATCCTCTCGCCTCATCTCTCGACTCTGGCGACTTCTACCCGGATCCTTGCGACCCAAGCAACGCGCAACAAGGCCGCGCGGCCCAGGACTCGCACGACGCGCGTGCAAGTCCACCACCGAGCAATAGAACCGCGCCGAGCCCCGAGAACACGGAGCCAGGAGAGCAGAGGGAGGTCAAGGAGGAGAGGAAGAGAGAGGAGAGGGGAGGGCGCGGGGCGAGCAGAAGAAACGAGCACGAAGGCTCGACAACCACTGGTACGCCCTCACCGGACGTCTCTGCTTCGCCGCCTCCGCTTCCAGTGCCTGCGCCAGCAGGCGTATCGACGAACGCGAAGCTTGTCGTGCGCTCTGCTGGCCACGACATTGGCACTTCCGCCTCTCGGGACGACTCCCACGTCGTACCAACTGCCTTGGACGGTACCACGTCGGACGCACGCAGCTGCGCGTCCGACGTGCCCGTTTCATCGCCATCTGCCGCAGCAGCAGGCGTAACGATGAACAAGAAGTCCGTCGTGCGTTCTGCTGGCCACGAAGACAGCCCTTCCGTCTTCCGGGACGACCTCATGGTCGTACCCGCAGCTACGCACGGTAGCACGTCGGACATGCACCGCTGCATGTCTGACGTGCCCCGTCCTTCAGCAACCCGCCGCACAGAGGGTATGTCGAGCTTATCGCTCGATGTACACGCTATCAACGAGATCGAATCCGCGTCCGGTGTACTCGCCAACGTACCCGGCGCGCTCGCCGACCTCCCATGCGCGAGCGAAGGTTCCGTGGTGCACTTCACGACCGTGGACCCAGTACGCACGTCACCAGCCGCAGCGCCCGCGTCGGAAGGCAACGCAATGACCAATGAGTTCGTTGCGTGCCTCTCCGTCGCCAAGAACGGGGTGCTAGGCCGGTGTAGCAGCAGGCCCATCGTACCTGCTGCTCCCACTTTGTGAGACGGCGCGTCTGGAGGGCCTTCGAGCTCTACCAGGCCGCCTCCTGTTTCTCTACCACCGCACGCGGCAGATACGTCGAGCTCGTCGCTCGATGTATCCTCCGGTGCCTTCTTTCTGGATGCGCGCGACGCACGCCCGTCTGTGCTGGCCGCCGTCCAGCACGCCCCTACTTGGCGTAGTGACGCACCCGGAGAACATGCCAGTTCTATCGGGTCGTCCGTTTCTCTTTCGACACCGCCTCGCGCTATGCGTACGTCGAGCCCACCGCCCGACGTACACGCAGCCGAATCCCGGGACGCGCGCGACGCACCCTCAAGTGTGTTTGCCGCGACCCCTCAAGTTTCCGTTTCGATGCATACGCATCCACCGTCAGCACCTGCAGTCGATGCAGCGATCAACGAGATCGTTGTATTCACTGTCAGAGAACCTCATGAGGTGCTGAATCCATGCGACGCGCTAGTTTACGAGCTCAGCGGCGTTACGACGCACGACGTGTTCGGTGTGCCATCCAGCACGACCGACATGTCTCCCACTTCGACTTCGACTACATACCGTCGTTCTACAAGTCGCCGCACACATCAGGAAAAACACCCTAGCCGCCCAAGCGGTTGCAGAGTTCCCACGACGGGCTCAAGTAGTTGAGGAGGATTGTAAATTCCTCGGAGCGCGTTCAAGATCTTGTGGAAGGTTATCCCCAATTCCAGGACTAACCAAGTGTAGTTTAAGGCTCTACAACGTATAGCAATACTTTCGCAGTACTCTCAGTGGCTTTGGCTGTTCCCTGTGTAATGTATGGGGTATGCGTGTAGGATCTTGTGCAATTTCATCTTAGGTGATTTGTGTGCGGCGTAGAAACATATATATTTCAGTAGTCTACAACTGTATACTAGTATAATACTGGATGCATGTTTCTTTGTTTTACCTCGCGCTCAGTTTCCCGTCCACGCTCGTATTCCCTCCACGGGCCCTAGCGTGCATCAAACCGCGGGCCCTCGTAACTCCTGACAGGCTCGTCACCGTGCATCATACTAGGGGGCGACTGTCCAGGAACACCTCCCATGATGGCAGGGCCAGACGGCATGTCAGGGTGCGAGTCCCAGTACGGGCGCGGGGATCTGACAGGCGACATCGGTGGGGAGCGGGGCGGCCCACGGGGACTTGGTGCGAGCTGGGACATCGGCGGCGAGTGCGCGCCGGAGTACATCTGCTGCTTGTGCAAGAGGTACTCCGAGCCGGGACGACCACGCCTCTGCTCATGCTCCCACTCCACGTGTTGAGTCCGGGGCATGCATCGATCCCAGCCGGGCTCGCGCTCGGCCATTGGAGGCTCTTGTGCGTACGGTGGAAGCGGGGAGCGTCGCGCGGAGATTGGAGTCTCGCCGGGGCTGACCGGCGAGCGTCCGTCGTATGAAGGGCGTCCATTGGCTATAGAGGAGTGAGGACACATGGAATGAGGCGAAGGAGGGGACGTCGACTGCGAGATGTGATACTGGCTGGGACCAGGCTTATGTGGGAGTCCAGGAGGTCCGCGCAGGGCGTCCGGAGGTCCCTGTTGCTGCGGCACAGGGTGGTGGAGAAGGAGTCACTGGCGTGCCGGACCACGCCCGTTCTCACGACTCGGAGGCGGGTAAGGACCAGTCGACTCTCGCCGGTGGACGGTGGATGTCTATCGGCGCTAGCCAAGTATGAGAGGGCACTGGCATGTGCGGGTTGTCGAGCACCACTGCCAGTGGAGGCGGTGGCTCACCTCTGTACAGTCCCGGCGACGAACAACCACTGCCAAGGGCCCGAGGAGGCATGGGCAGTGCCCACTGCCAGGTCGCCAGGTCCTCTCGAGTCCATGCGGAAGATCGGCATTGGACGTGAGTTGACACCTGGGTGAAAGTTGAGTGAAAGTCCAGCGGGCGGACGCGTGGGCTAGTAAAACAGAGAGGTCAGGTGAAACGCGGCGGGCGCGCAGGGTAACAGTCAGTATGGCAGGAGCAATGGAAGCGAACAAGCAGGCGGGAAGGATGATAGTAGTAGGCTGTGACGGTCTGCCCTCACTTCTCCTGGCGAGCTCGCCCAGTGTCTGAATCAATTTGTATATGAGCATGGACACATACCTTAGAGTCTGCGAGCACAAGGAGACGACCCGCTGTCAGATGCCATGATACACATGACACAAGATCCAAATTGAGCACGGTCCTGGTGCAACGCTGAGTACAATGATTAGGAATCAAAAATGGGTGTCTCCACCCCGTCCTCCACGAGCCAGATCTCAGGCTCTCTCTTCTCCGCCCGTTCTACCTCGACCTTCCCAGCGGCATGGTCTCCGAACCTCAACACGGCTTGATGTGCAGGGTTCCGAGACGGAACCGCAACCTTCCCGACGCACCAGGCGGATTGCTTGTACTCGCGAGGTCGGTCATTGTACACGCTCGGCCAGAGGAAATTACTGTCCATGAAGGTGGCTTTCACACCACACATGGGCAGCAGTTCCTTGTGGCAGCCCAGCGCGTAGTCCGGCGCAAGCCCGGCGATGACGATGTCTCTCAACTTGAAGACGGGAACGGATGCGAGAGGGAGCGGAATAGTGATCGGCGTACGGAGAGGTTTGGTAGAGGCCGGGATGTAGGACTTGTACCGAGGGCTGTAGGCATCGATCTTGAATACAGTTTCGGTCCCAACGGATAGCCCTTTGTGAGGGCTGAGCGAGGCGAAAACTTGCGTGAACAGCGGTTGAGATAACCAAAGCTCAAGCTCGTTGGACTTCTCGCGGACGTGATACACGAGCGGCAGACTCATCGGCGGGTGAGCCTCCTGAAGAGATAAATCAATGGTGAATCAATCGTACAAGCACTATGAGAAGCTAACCACGCACCCGAAAGAATATGAATGTTTCCACAACTACCTTCTCCCTCTTTGCACTGACCAACGCCCTCGGAATCCCCGTGTCCTTTGCCTCTGCCCATACCTCGCCCAAGTACACCCACCCTCCCAACTTGGGACGAGGTTCCATGGCCCGCGCAACGCGAAGCACCTCCTCCAGGACGACCCGGTCCCCCTGCTCTACGCTCAGAGTTGCTGCGCACTCCGTCCCGTGGAAACACGGGCACTGGAGGGGGTTAAATATCAGTGAAAAAGCGGAACTCAAGAGACTCACGTAGTCGTAGAGTTTCCCGAAATTCTCTTTGCTGTCCTCCAAGCAGACGACGGTGACGTGATAAACCTGCAGGTCCTTTTCGACGCGGTTGCATCGGATTGTAGTCTTTGCAACCGTAGAAAACGGCGGTAGAACCTGCGAGAGAAAGCCAATAACAGTTTTCCTGATGCTAGCCATTATGAAGATGGAGTGTGCGCAGGTTTGACAAAGCTGAGAGTAGTGAGGAAAGTCAAGGATTGATAAGCGGTGGAAAAGCGACCTTCAAGCATCCGCAAGCGCTCGATGAGATCTCAAAGAAGCGCTTGTGCTCACGGAGCCGGTACTCGAAGACAGTATTGGGTATAAATGAGAGCCTGAATGAGTGAGATAAAATGGAGATGCTATTCAGTAGATCGTACTACTGGACATATGTCATGGGCGTACAATCCTGACTGCTATTCTTACATAGATCTATTTACAAGTACAATTTTGTTCCTATGCGTGATCAGAACCTCTGCCAAACGTTGTCAGGCGCATGCCAGTCAAAGTCAGGGGCTGGCTCCTCCGAGTATCCGGCTTCTCCACGCTCAGGCCTCGCCGCTACTACGCCCAACGGCGTTCCTGTATCCACTACGCTCCACTTCGCCTGCATGTACTTGCGAGGAACTCGAAGGTTCCCGGGCCAGACATACGGCTGGTCCATGAATTGCAGCTTCATGGAACATGTGGGGGGCTCCGATCTCAGGCCCTTGGCGTGGTCACTCACGTAGAGGGTGACACGTACATGGCCGAGCTTGAAGGTAGGAATTTGGCGTAGGGGGAGGTGTAGGACAGGGGTTTCGTCTTCGAGCATCGATACAGGAAAGAACGTTTGTCGTTCAATGTCGTAGAAGTCGAAGCCGGTGTCGCCGAGGCCCATGCGGGGCCACGTCCTCCACGGGCTCAGCCCCGGGAACGTGAGCAGCATCAGGGGCTGCTCCGTAGGAGGAGCTATGAGCATCTCCTTCCTCTTCTCGTCTATCTCGCACAAGAGAGGGATGGAGATGGGGTCCTCGAGATCCTGAAGAAGTTCCGTACGGCGAGTTAGAATTGAGGGGCCACACAGACCGTGAGGGACGTACCTTGATAAAGAACAAGGCCTCCACCACAGCCACTCTGGGAGCGTCCTCCTCCGGCCCGTAATGCTGCAAGAGTCGGGGGACTCTCCTCCAGTCCTGATAGAACAGCCCAACGGCGCCCAGAAACACCCAGCCTCGCATTCTAACAGGCCCGAAAGGCCCGAAGCTGTCGGATCGAATGGCATCTAGGATGGACGTCTGTACCTCCGGTGTGGGCTGCATCCAAGCCGGGCACCGAACCATGGGACAGCCCGTTTTCTGATGCGTCATACACTTCGCAAATAGGGATATTAGCCAGCTAATACCACTACGCAGATACACGGCACTCACGTAGTCGTATAACTCCCCGATGTTTTTCTTTTCCAGGCATAGGACCGTAACGTGCGTCAGACCGGATCCGCGAGGGCATTGCCTAGTCCCGTGTTCTGCTATCTGCGGATAGGACGGCAGGCCGTTCTGTGAGATGATGTTGAGAAGGCGTGGGTCGATGCGGGAGACGGCCATGATAAAGCTCGAGGGCCTGTCCGGTCGTAGCGGCGGGATGAGTTGAGAGGCGGGTGGGAGCCGTCCGAGAGTGGTTCGAAGACAGTTGAGAGAAGAGCGCAAGAGTTAACAAGTGGCGGGAAAGCCACACTCAAGCGCTGATTGAGCGCTTGATCAGGTCTTCATGAAGCGCTCGCGCTCGCTGGTACTCGGACTCAGAGTGGGCAAGAATTGTATGTATTGAGCTAAATGTATTCTAAGATCTGTGCATGTCGACGAGAGGCTGTATCAGGGTGCAACGCAAGCAAAGAAAGGCCGGATGGTTGAGATGATCATCCGGAGTATGATGAACCGCCGTGAAGAGCAGCTTACATGCTGTAGTGCCCATAAGAGAGCCGGTAAGGGTCAGCGTCGCCCACCAGGTACTAGCTGACTCTCCAAAACAATGAGATAATGCTACGGCGTGCATGTGCAGAGGCGTCCTGCATGATGCGGCTGTCGAAGTTCGCAGGCTGCATGCCGTGCAGCGGAGACGCATGAAGGTGGCCTTGCTGGAGATCCGGTCCGCCGTACAGCGTTCAGAAGCCTGGATGCACTTCAGGATGAGAGCGTCAGTGAAGGCGACAGAATACATAGAATCTCAATCATCAGCGCACCTTCTCAATGACGTTCGAGCTGAACTTCTGGACAAACAGCGCTCAGACGTTGCCAGTGAACTGGCGGATGACCGCATTGCTGAAGCGGTGGTCTGCAGAGTTATCAACTGGTACGCATGGCAGACTGTGCTTCGGTCGAACAGACTCCAGCCCAAGTTGTAGGTCTGCACTCTGCTGGGGGATGATGGACGTCAGTCGTGTTTTCCCGGGCTCTATCGGACGTGGACAACTAACTGTGTTCGGGTCGAAGCCCTTCTACGACATGTCAATGCAGCGTGGTTTCGCATAGACGTGCAGACCGCAACGGATCTACGACACCACTGCACTATCCTGTACGCCCGCATCGTCCGCGCCTTCCATGAGGTTACGCTAAGAGAGAACGGTCAGCACTTACAAGTGCATCTCCAGCTACCATTAGAAACACGTACCATCCCATGGGTGTTACGTTCATGTCATGAGGCCTACACACAGCGAGGCCTTCAGAGAGCAGGTCAAGAGTGAAGATGTCGAATAGGAGACTTACTGACTCAGCTAGTACGTCAAGGAAAAATGGAAAGCCACTACCATAGCGTCTGGTAGGCGTACATACCAGCCCAGTTGTTCAGATGGAATCTGGTCGCCTTGTCAAGAACGTTGTCGGAAGACCATTCCCTTGGAGCTGCCCCACCCGGCCCATCCGGAAACGAAGGTATCAGCTGGCATGACTGGCGTATCTGAGCCAGCTGTACGATCCTTCCAGGCGGAAGACCATCCGCCCCGGGGTGGCTTACTCACAGAGTACATGAGATGCCGTGGGTCGGCTGCACCAGGGAAGCGGGTATACCACTCCACGTATGCAAGAGGACCCTGAGGCCACCAGGAAGGTGCCGGACTGCCTCCATGAGATGGGGAGAGGGTCTTAGGCAGCGTGAAGATGACTTTGACGCGCCCTGCTCTTGTGCCTTTACAGTGGAAATGAGCAACATTATACGCAGGAACTCAAGACACTAAGTACTCACCTTTGACCCCAGTTGCCTCAGCCTCCTCAGTCTCAAGCACAATGGCGGTATCGAAACGGCTCTTCCTTCCCTGGCGACCGGAAGCAGGCACTGACCTGATAGCGTCAACCTCCGGTTTGCCGTCCAGCAGCTCACAAGGGTTGAATTGAACCTTGTGATACACGTCGACGCGATCGAAGGGCAACCAGGCCCTCGATAGATCGCGTCGAGTGAGTGTAAGTTCAGGCGGCTGCAGGTCATTGATGTATCTTGCAAGAGCGGTGGTAAAGCCAGGTGCGTTGTGCTGCGTCTGGACCGTAGCGAGATGTTGCGCTGGCGACGGTGGGTGCTTAGCTATCTTGATAGAATGGTCTCCTGGGACCGGTTCGGTGTCCTGTGCGTCCTGAGCGTTGGAGTCCACTGTCCCGCCATCCACTGATTCCTCTGGGTCCTCTACCTCCTCCTCCTCACAACACTCCTGGAACACTTCGTAAAGGGCCATTTTCTCCCGCCGGGAGATCCACTTCACCATCTGTGGAAACTCGTCCCTATGGTTGGAGGCTCGCCATGCTTTCTTGGCGAAGTCGATATGGAGTCGCTCGAACAACTCCGTATTATAGTTGTCTGTCGTCCCGAACTGTCGAATTGACTGGACGTAATGGAGGAGGGAGTGAACCTTGGGGATGTTGAGATCGTCTCGTATCCCCAGCTCTACCAGGACGTGCTTGTGTTTGTGAAAGGTGTCCAACGCATCCTCAAGATACCTGAGCGTGTCGTCATCGTGCGTAGGGTACTGAGCTATATAGATGAAATCAAGCAGCGCTCGAAAGGCCAGGACGACAGAGTTGGGAATCTTCCCTATGAGACAGCCCAGCAGGACGCGGGCCATCTCCTTGCGCTCTTTTCCAGACACTTGAGCAAGGGCGGAGATACCGTTCTTGAAGTGTCGAACGCCGTGCGCAGGCGGGAGACATCGAAGTCGACTGTCCAGCTCTTCCGGACCGATGAGATCCTCGCACCAAGTCATGAGGTGCTTGAAAACACCTTGATACAACTGGTGGAGGATGTCAGGCGTGATCGAGAGGTGGATATCGGCATACGGTAGGTCCGCCCAGAAGGGCTTTCGAACAGTCCCCACGACGTCCCGCTCCATACTGAGAGCCTCAGAAGCCGCTGCACTGCGCCCGTTCAGAGACGACTCTTCGATGATGCTCTCCGTCAGCTCAGGAGTGCGTGGGTCCGCCGCCACACGGTCCCCCAGTTTGTCAGCGGGACACTGACACTTGGGGCATGTTCCGTATTTTGAACAGGCCACCAGACCCTGTTCCGGGTAGTCAGCGACATAAGACGCTAGGATGGGGTGTACCCGACGAACAGCGCCATCGCCGCCGGTCACTTCAAAGCCCTCAACACCGGCGCGGACGAGGGGCTTGAGGATGATGCGCATAGCCGCATGGAAAAGCTGGTGGGTCCGCGATTTGTGTTCTCGCTTGGTCATGTTCTTCTTACTGATCTTGGTAACCGGGAGATAGCCTAGCAGAATGCAGGCATGCTCGGAGGGTTTGCGACGGAGCGCACGAGGAATGTTACCTAGGGTCAGGTACACCGGGTACGCACACTTGTTACCCGAAAACTGGGTGAGCTGGGTCTTGTCCGTGGATATAATCACAGGCGCGACCGCAGCACCCCCTGGCAGTAATTGCTACATACCCAGGATGTCAGAGATCAACAAGGTAGGTGGGAAAACTGATGCTTACCTGGACAGCATTCCACCAAAGACCAGTCCACATTTCGGTGAATATCCTGCGTGTTTTGGAACGGTCGGCGAAGACACGCCTCGGGCGGTACACGATCTGCTTAGCATATGATGGGTTACCTAGGAGGGCCTGTATAGCCTCGAGAATGTCCCGGTATCGTATAATGTGTTCCTCGTCTGGCCGGTCACGGAACGTCAAGGTCGTCATCTTCCATGTCGCCCTATCAGGAATACTGTCTACTTTCATGAAGAGTTGCCTGACGTCCTTGAAGGTTAGCCCCAGCTTTTCAACCACCTGTGAGCCAGCCACGTAAATGGTGAGCTCTTGCAGTGCCTATGAATAGAGAAACCTACCCCCGGTATGCGCAGGAACCGATTTAGAGAATTCTGGCCGACATCCTCACGAACTGCCCACATGGCCACCTGCCAGTCAAGTTCGGACGCGAACGGCCTCCACTTCTGGTTGAGGTCTCCCTTGTCCGGTGGCTCGTCTTCACCGTCTACGTCCATGGCATCGCTGTCGTCCTCATTTTTCCCAAAGTAAGCCTTCCACGTCTCGACAATTGTCTCCTCCATCCGTACGACCATGCCGGCGAGCTTGTTTTCCTCCTCCACTCTGGTGTCTTCGTCATCGTCCAAGGCAGGGACGGGAACACCGGGCAAAGCGGGGGCCCCAGCCCTCTGGGACGTAGAGGACGAGGCCTCTCCTTCGTTTTCCACATGAAAGTTTGCATGGGAAGGGGGAAGTACGAACCGAAACAGGTCCCGAGTCTCCATGACATCTTGGAAAGTGGTTGGTTCGTCGTCAATGTCCATGTCCGCAGACTGTGACGCCCGGATCGCCTCCTCTCTAACGATTGTGCTGAAGTCACCCACACCGATGTCCTTGTTTTTCCCCTTATTGTACCAGCGGCACGATTTGGCGGTGGACAGGTGGGACAAGAGCCCTTGCGGGGTGTCCAAGAGCTTGTCGCAGGCCGGACACGTTCGGTCTTCCAGATCGCAAGTGCGGACGTGAGGGACCGCCCTTTCCTTGGCTCTTCCCATCGTGTATCGTTAATTCTGGAGTGCTCCACCGTCATTAGCATTCTCCGCGTTGAGGTAGAATAAATGCTTTCGCACCTGCAGTCGAGAGAGTCAAACGCGTAGTGTTGGAGAAATTCGGGAGGTAGCTCAAACACTTGAAGAGTTGCTTCAAGGCGCCTGGGCGGCGCTCACCAGTCTATTCAATTGCTCATGAGGTAAATGTCTTAGGCTCACATGACAGTGGACTCACACGCATCATGCAATCATTTCTTTCCGTGTTTCACGCCTTCACTCTTGAGCGCTGTTGGTCGTGCAACCGTGTCTACACCGGTGAGTTGGAGCTTTTGCTGTTCCATGACCCGCTCACCTGTGCCATGGTTGTATATGCATGCTGTTCACGTCCTATATGACATGGTAAAGCTTGATAACATTCTCTGTCACCCCTGTGGTATATACAGATCGAGGTACGGAGTACTGTGATCATGATATATACTAACTTCATCAGTATATAGGCGGTATATTGGCTCTCCTGTAGGCTGCCACCGTCTCTGCTTACCTCAGCGTGCATCCTTCCTAAATTGGGCCAACTATCCGGCGGCAAACTGC